TGGGGCAAGCACTGGGCACAAATGTCAGGGTATCACTAACTGTAAGCCTGTCGGCTTGACTTAGAAAGCGGTTATTATTTCTTGATCGAATGCTTAAGCGGTTTTGGTAACATTGAGGCCGGGGTTTAAACGTACAACATACTCTTCAATCAAACGGCGGAAAAAGAAGATGGCAGAAGATAATCAAAGAATTTACTTAGGCTTCAATATGTACGGTAAATAGAGAGTAATACAGTGTTTTGAGAGGGATTTGAAGCACATTTTTGATAGATTAATTAGTATGAATATGTTTTTAGTCCAAATATATCATCAAATCACTAAGTTTGTACATGGGAAGGCATCTTTAACTACTTAATCTTTTAAGATATTAACGTAAAATTTTAAGATATTAACTTAAAAGTACATTTAGGGTATTTCCGGTATTTAGTGTTTTTTTCCGGTGTTTTCCGGTATTCAGTATAACATGGTGTTTTCCGGTAGTTTTCTGGTGTTTTCCGGTATATGGTATTGTCGCACACGAAATATAATACCGCCTAACGCGGAACACCTCAGATAGTCCTGAAAATCAAATGGGATGTTAAAATGTTTTCCACGTTGACGGCACACCCTGACCACTGGCTTCTCAGGCCGTGGCTCTGTGGACTTGAAACGACAATTTTTAGGTATTCCACTTATATCAGGTGGGCATAGAGTGGGCATTTGGTTGCAAGAGCACACATATTTTAAACAAGTACGATCGTAGTATGGACCAAGAACTGGCCATGTTGTTGGATAAAATTCAAAAATCTAATTGACCCAATCGATGCCGTATTGTTCAAAGAACAAGCATGCCACTTAAAATTTCCATGTCAATCGGACTTGAATTGACGGAACTTTCGGCTTTTTCGAAGAGCGTTACCCTAAGAAGAAGAAAAAGAAGAAGAGTAGCGGTTAGCGACCAGTTCCTGCTGGTCCAAAAAAAGAAAGACTATTATTGGACCACTTCTTTCAAGTTACTGTACACTCGACCTGGAATAACAGAAAACACGCATATGTAAAAAACATTGGGCTCGTGCGCCCATGTTCGGGAATACTTTGCACATTAACAGTATTACATAAATAATTATTGGTATACATGTAAATTTTGAGGTGTCTTTTAAAAATATGTGAGTTATTTTTCAAAATACAGAACCACAGCTTGATTCGTCGTATATTAGACGAACATTGATTATTGCATTTTGGATTTAAAAGACATTTATCGGTAGTAGTTAAGAAAAGTTTAATCTCGATCGCAATATAATTTTCAAATCGATTATAGAACAGAGGACTGGTTTATATTTTAATAAAATGGGTAATATGTAACAGGTTTATATTTTAATAAAATGGGGATTATAAAAGATCTTTTGTATGTAAGGTACACATATTGTTCATATTTGAATAACTTTATGGAATAACTCATTCCTATTGTATTACATGAAACGATTTAATACTCTTACTCATCAACACGTATTGAGTTCCTAATAAACAGCTGGTGCATTTGTCATGGCTTTTAGTGTATGAAACATATGCCAAAATTATATCGTGCGATGTCTAGACTATTATTACAACACACAATGTAGGCCAGATGCCCCCCGCCCTCCTCACACACACTTGTTGATTGATGGTTCTTTACGAGGACATTGGTAGACATTTGAAACCGTATATCGATGAAATAATTAGCAATTCCGGAATGTAAATTAAGTTCTTTATCAATATTCTCGTCCTACTGTACTGACATTCAAAAACCGATGACACTGTATCAAAGTCGTCTGTTGGGGCCAAAGACGCGCATAAGATATGTATTTATCACTACATGTATTCATTACTGACTATAAGGAACACCATGTATCATTCACTTAAATTAACCATCCTCAATAATGGGGACCTACACTAAATGTAAATGTGTACGACCAGATAAGTATGTATCTAAATTCGAGCACCCAAACACTGGACTCATGATAGATTGTATTTTAGAGATTTAACTAAGCTAAGAAAAGGAATAACTGTATTAAATAACTGGTAATTTGAAATATGGGTCATACGCCGGATGTGGCCACAGCTTTTAGTGCATGTCCGCTTTCCACGCCTTACTGACGACCTATGATACTACACTTTGACCGCCAGATCCAAGGGCCCTTCAACCAAGGTGTGGTATAATATTTTTGAAACTGCAATACGTCTTTTTACATATTTATCTTTAAACACGTCATCATCCTCGGCTTTGCTCAATTTTATTGTCCCCCGCCTTTCGAAGAAAGCAGGGGACTATTAAAATGGGTTCGTCCGTCTGTCTGTCTGTCCGTCACACTTTTTGGGACACAATAACTCTCTTCCTAATTGAGCTAGAATGTTCAAACTTGGTGTATGTGTTTATTAGGTCAATGCCTTGATGGAGTTCGAAGATGAGCATTTTCCACTTAGGGTAAGCAGAGATAAGCAATTTGATTGGTTGATGCTTTGGGACACGATAACTTTTAATTGAGCTAGAATGTTCAAACTTGGTATATGTGTTTATTAGGTCAATGCCTTGATGGAGTTCGAAGATGAGCATTTTCCGCTTAGGGTAAGCAGAGATAAGCAATTTGATTGGTTGATACTTTGGGGCACGATAACTCTCTTCCTAATTGAGCTAGAATGTTCAAACTTGGTGTATGTGTTGATTAGGTCAATGCCTTGATGGAGTTCGAAGATGAGCATTTTCCGCTTTGGGTAAGCAGAGATAAGCAATTTGATTGGTTGATGCTTTGGGACACGATAACTTTAGTTCTAATTAAGTGAGATTGATGAAACTTGGTGTATAGTTTCATTACAGTAGGTCAATGCCTTGATGGAGTTCGAAGATGAGCATTTTCCGCTTAGGGTAAGCAGAGATAAGCAATTTGATTGGTTGATGCTTTGGGACACGATAACTTTTAATTGAGCTAGAATGTTCAAACTTGGTATATGTGTTTATTAGGTCAATGCCTTGATGGAGTTCGAAGATGAGCATTTTCCGCTTAGGGTAAGCAGAGATAAGCAATTTGATTGGTTGATACTTTGGGGCACGATAACTCTCTTCCTAATTGAGCTAGAATGTTCAAACTTGGTGTATGTGTTGATTAGGTCAATGCCTTGATGGAGTTCGAAGATGAGCATTTTCCGCTTAGGGTAAGCAGAGATAAGCAATTTGATTGGTTGATGCTTTGGGACACGATAACTTTAGTTCTAATTAAGTGAGATTGATGAAACTTGGTGTATAGTTTCATTACAGTAGGTCAATGCCTTGATGGAGTTCGAAGATGAGCATTTTCCGCTTAGGGTAAGCAGAGATAAGCAATTTGATTGGTTGATGCTTTGGGACACGATAACTTTTAATTGAGCTAGAATGTTCAAACTTGGTATATGTGTTTATTAGGTCAATGCCTTGATGGAGTTCGAAGATGAGCATTTTCCGCTTAGGGTAAGCAGAGATAAGCAATTTGATTGGTTGATACTTTGGGGCACGATAACTCTCTTCCTAATTGAGCTAGAATGTTCAAACTTGGTGTATGTGTTGATTAGGTCAATGCCTTGATGGAGTTCGAAGATGAGCATTTTCCGCTTAGGGTAAGCAGAGATAAGCAATTTGATTGGTTGATGCTTTGGGACACGATAACTTTAGTTCTAATTAAGTGAGATTGATGAAACTTGGTGTATAGTTTCATTACAGTAATACCTTGACTAAGTTTGATAATGAGCATTTTCTGCTCAGGGTAAGCAGAGCGATACGCAATTTGATTGGTCGAGACTTTGGAAGTAAAGATATACTGTTTGATTGTTCAATACTTTGTAAAAGATAATTTGTGATAAAATTATATGTGTCCTCTAATTATTTTCCTATTTCGGCGGGGGACATCAGCCTCACTGTTGGCTTGTTTTGTCTAAAACACACTCTCATCTTCCGTAGTCGTGAGGGTAAGTGCAGGGTTTGGGAGGGTCCTCACAAGTGGAATAACCTAGGGCCTCCCTTCATCTAAATCCGAAACCGAGGTGGCAATGCATCTATTGATATATCACAAATATATGAAAATGCAAATGACATTTCCTGTTTGTCCGAATCTGTCCCCGGTGTTCATTACGGAGTAATAAAATTATTGTGTTGTATTGACTTATAAGTTAAAATAATTCCAAGATCAATTTTGTATTTGGTGGCTTCAGTGTTCATTTTATAACAGCTATTGTTATTTTTCGCTGTCTGTAATACAATGATATTTGTGTGAAATTGATTGGCGCTAGGTTGTGTAATGTCGAATTTGGGGTTGAGTTAAATAGATCTATCCAGGTCAAATATTTGCAGTGATAAATCAGTGAATAAAATATGATGTGTGTTTTTAGAAATATAGAAATTGGCAGTCATTACGCTTGACCCACAACTGTTGGAAAAATTACCGCCCTGTATCTAATCTAACATTTCCCTAAAAGATTTTAGAGAAATAAAACCGTTTAAGATATTAACTTCAGCTTTTAAACTACTAACATTTTCAAATTTCAACTTGAATTTAATCTTTTAAGATATTAACCTAAATTTTTAAGATATGCACGATACAGTCTTACGAAAGTATTTATAGGGTAGTTATCTCCAATAACAGTATGTCAATTTTGGTATACATGTATATGGAAAGTGGAGACGCCCAATCTTACTAGAAAAATACTGGATGGGGCAGGCACTGGGCAAGGATGTCAGGGTATGACTTGCCGCCAGCCCGACGGCGTATTGTCTGCTAGATTGACTTGGGAAGTAGATGTCAAGGTATTACTTGCCGTCAGCCCGACGGCGTATTGTCTGCTAGATTGACTTGGGAAGTGGATGTCAGGGTATTACTTGCCGTCAGCCCAACGGCGGATTGTCCGCTAGATTGACTTGGAACTTGTTATTATTTCTTAATCGAATAGTTATGTGGTTTTGGGAACATTGAGGGGTTTAAACATACAACAGACCCTGCAATCAAACGGCGGAAAAATAATTTGGCAGAGGATAATCATTTATTTAGGCTTCAATATGTACGGTAAATGTAAAGTAAAAAACAACAAATACATTCTGAAATGGACCCTCCCTCAATCAAGTAACGTGACAAACATGGCTTCTAGAAATAGATTTTTACGTCATGGGGTTCTTCCTCCCGAATACAATATTTTGAAAGGGATTTGAGGCAAATTTTTGATAGATTAATTAGTTTGAATATGTTAGCCCAAATATATCATCACATCATACAGTTTGTACATTGGAAGGCATCTCTAACTTTTTAAGTTATAATTTTGTAAGTTATTAACTTAAACTTTTAAAAACTTAAAATATCTAATATATTAACTTAAACTTTAAAGATATTAACTTAAACTTTAAAAATATTAACTTAAACTTTAAAGATATTAACATAAACTCTGATATTAACTTAAACGAAGTTAAACTTTTAAGATATTAACTTAAACTTTTAAGTTATTAACTTAAACGTTTAAGATACTAACTTACATTTTCAAGATATTTACTTGATACGAAGAAATCCAGTAGTTCTTCATATAAAAACGAGATATTTTTGGACTAAAATTTCCGTTTATAGAACATTTGTTTATGACACATTGATATCAAATCTTTTAACGACAATTCATCAATCTAAATGTTAAAAAGATCTTCATAACAAGACGAGTTTAACTAGTATGTATGTTTATTCGACATAAAACTAAATGTTAAGACACACTACTTGCATGAAATACACTATTTAAGTTAAGCGTGGGATCGTCCTTAACTAGCAACCATTTCCTGTAGTATGCAAAGGGCATGCAGCGGGATCTAGTATATCTTGAAATGAAATGGGGTTTCACGTCCTACTGTTCTGCTCCGAACTGGGCTAATGAAGACGGGCATACGCCATACAGTGTGCTCTTATATCGAATTCCAACTGTGAAGGGATACTTTACGTGCATGCCAATGTGTACACAGGACCTCGGTTTTCGTCCCATCCAAACGACTACACAGCTGTCCTTATCAAGCCCTCCGTCCTGCATCACTGACAAGGGGGCAACTACGCCGGAAAATCTTGATGAAGAGTTTCCACAGTGTATATGGCCCCTAACCAAATATATATATATATATATATATATATATATATATATATAATTGTTATTTTGTTGCATATTCTGTATATATTTTCCTTGATAAAGTCGCTTAGTATTAAACTCAGTTATAATTGTGTATCATTAAAATTGTACCTTGTGTTAATATGTTCAATTACTAAATGCCAATTAAAGAAGAGATATGGAAATAAACAAATTTTCTCCCTATGGCTCCCGATGTTTTTGCCCAAAAGGAACGGAGTAGTCCCATAAGATGCACCGGGCGTGGTCTGGTGAATGTGCACTGATGCTTCGGCTATGGTCACAAAACGTCTGGGAATGCCCCCCCCCCCCCGAGCAATTGTCGTGAATCATCGGGGATGACTCCCAATAATCCCAATGACTCCCATATTTTGCCCGGGTATGGCGGCCTTACGGCCTACTCTCATATCGAATTCCAACTGCCAAGGGATCTTTTAGGTGCACGTCAATGTGTACATGGGACCTCGGGTTTTCGTCCCATCCGAACGACTAGACATAGACATAATGATCATATATAAGGTGGTTGTATTTATTTGCGCACTATTTTTCTAAACACATACAGACAACATTATCGAATTAATGATTCACAAATGAAAAGAAGCAAATATATAATGCTACAATTGTAAAAAAAAAAACAACAGCGGTTGCCAGGCAAGATACGCCCACATTTTACAAGAGACAGAAAGATAAAAGAAAATGTGATTTTTTTTGTACAGTCAGGGGTCATAATCAAAGAAGTTACGGTCCGATATGCACGAATATCTACAGGAACTAAGATCTTTGTGATATAAACATACATTTCAAGTTTCATCAGAATCGGATAAAAATTGTGACTTCTAGAGCGTCCACAACCTTGGTATTATATTTAGACTATTTGCTTACAAAGAACGGCCATTTTCACCGGCGGTTTCGGTCAGATTTTTATGAAATTCGAACCCAACCTATTTGCTTACAAGGAACGGCCATTTTCTCCGGCGGTTTCGGTCAGATATTTATGAAGTTCGAACCCAACGTTCATTGATGTGTAAGGGAGATATATGTAAACGGTTTTTGAAATTGAACCCAAATTGTAACTTCTAGATGGTCCAAAGGCTAAAAAGGTGATTTTGCGAACAAACAGGGGTCATAATCCAGGCAGTTAGGTTCCAGTATGCGTGATTATCGGACGGAACCAAGGGGCGGCCATTACGAAATTTAAACAAACTCAACTTTCATTGAGGTCTAACGGTGAATATTTAAATGGTTTTAAAATTGAAGACGGTGAACAGTCCATATGCTGATTACACTATTTTGCCTTATTACACTATTTTGCCTATACCGTTTTTTTAGGACTTTGAATTTTGTCTAATGGTTTGGATTGTTCGTACTTGGTTTTATTTTATTGTGACTTTTAGAGGATCCATAAGCTAAAAACGTGATTTTTCGAACAATCAGGGCCATAATCGACGAAGTTACGTTCCGATATGCGCGATTATCTAAATGAACCTTTGATTAGGTGTAACGGTAATATATTTAAACGTTTTTTAAAATTGAATATAAATTGTGGCTTCTAGAGGATCCACAAGCTAAACACGTGATTTTTCGAACAATCAGTGGTCATAATCGAGGAAGTTACGGGGTTCCGATATGCGCGATTTTCTAAGGGAACCTTTAATGAGGTGTTACGGTGATACATTAAAAAGGTTTTTAAAATCGAATACAAATTGTGGCTTCTAGAGGATCCACAAGCTAAGGAAGTTACGTTCCGATATGCGTGATTTTCTAAAGGAACCTTTAATGAGGTGTTACGGTGATATATTTAAACGATTTTTAAAATTGAATACGAATTGTGACTTTTTCATATTAACATACACATCAAAATCGGATCAAAATTGTGACCTGTAGATGGTCTATAAACTTGATATGCCATACGTTTACACTATTTGCATTCGAGGAGCTGCCATTTTGTCCGGCGTGTCGGTCCGATTTTCACGAAATTCCAACTGAATCATCATTTTGGTATAACAGGGATATATATATATATATATGTAAACGTTTTTGTTTTAAATCGGATAACAATTTTGATCTCTAGAGGGTCCACAAGCCAAACACGCGATGTTTCGTACAATCCAATAAGTTACGTTACGAAAATCGACAGGAACCGAGATCTTTGGGATTTGAAGTTGCATTTCAAGTTTCATCAAAATCGGATAACAATTGTGACCAATAGAGTGTCCACAAGCTAAAAACCAGATTTTTCGTATAATCTGGGGTCATAATCCATGAAGTTATGGTCAGATACATGCCAATTTCGTGAGGAACCGAGGTCCTTGGGGGATACATCTATATTTCAAGTTTTATTAAAATCGGAGAAAAATTGTGACATGTACAGTGTCCACAAACAAAATGCGAACAGACGGACAGAGGATACCCAACAATATACATGCAAATGCGGGTGTATAAAAAGAAAATAGTAATAAAGTAAAAATACGGAAATCTTATAACAATTATAGATTAACCAAGATCAACTAAATTATCTAATCACATACAGGTAACGTTATATAATAAAAGATTCACAATTGAAAAGAAGCAAATCTATGCTACAAGCGCAATTGTAAAAAATAGAAAATAATAATACAGTTAAAATACTCAAAGTCTTAACAATGATAGGTTATTTAGGCTCTACCAACATGAAGATATATGATGTAAACAAATTAATTATATGAAGCACTACTTTTTAGATTACTGAAATAATAAAACATCTTCTTCTCGCATTTCCATCGTGTATGTGTTGTTTTCATTTTCTTACACCAACTACTACCTTGCTTCGTGAATGTCGCTTTACTATTGCCTGAAAGTTAAAATGTGCGTAGATTAAACAGTTTATATGGACGGACATAACAAAAAGTAAATACAAAAATAAGATAATGCATACTTCCGGATTAATATTCCTAATGACGTTATGGTATTGTGAACCATTTACATCATTGCTCAACCTTGAAGGCCATAGACCTTGTTTTGCACATTAGACAGATATGAACGATGGCAGGGGTCGGGTCATAGGCATATTCAAAATTCGCGTTCATTCTCTAACTAATGATTGCTTGATCTGACCTAAATTTCATATTGAGCGGGTGGAGAAATATATTTCATTTTAATGTCAAAGTTCTAGTACCATAGTATACAAAATATGCCAAACTTCAGATTTCACAAGCATAAGAATTATCATATTCCTGAAGCAATGGTCCGAGAAATCCCTCTCTGTCCATTGCTGGATTGGCTTCTGATACTTGAGCTTTTGAGGGAGTGTGTGTATTCTTCCCGTTCAATCAAATCTATCCCAAGTACAGCATCATGACAACTCTTCGTTTAATCCGGGGTCTTCCATAAAAACTTTGGACAATGAATTAAGGTATTAAAAACGGTGAAAGTATTCTTCGTCTCCATACAGTATTGTTTACATTGTATTCGTGTTGATAGCCTCATTTGTCACGCAGTTAGTTTTTCTGCCATATTCTGCTATGCACTGGTTAATTGGGCATAATAAAATCGTGAGTCATGACGTAACGTTATGTAAACATATTTGGTCCAATTTGGAGCTTTGATTAAAATGTAACGATATTGTTACGCAGTTAGCTATTGGTTGTTAATCGGACTATATTGACCAGTGATAATTTGGAACAGAAATGTGCTTCCTTAAAGCAGTGTTTAGTGGGATTAGCTCTAATCAAACGAAACACTGTGAGGAGTATGAATAATTATCATCAATTATTTAGTTGCTTCGAAATTCGCTTACCGGATAGAACACTAATGGTTCACTGAAGATCCGACGGTTATTACTGACAGAAACATTTATATATCTATATCTCCTGTTTGCTGAATAGACGACATGTGCAGTGGTTAAACCATCAGGGCAGATAACTTCGTTTTCGCTCACATATGTAGCAGAAACAGTTATGTTGGAAATAAGAGTTGACGTTCTGTTCCTGTCCTGTGTAGAAAAAGAAAAGTTTGCACGGAACACATGAGTTATCCATATCTTAAACACAGTTAAATGAAAATACCTAACAATGATTATGATTATTCTCGGTCATATTGCTTGTTTCCAGACAGATATATAGATATATGTATAGTATGCTGAACTTAAACATGCATTATGCAAGAGCTAAATCTGTCTATTGCAGGTCTTCCTTTGGGCCTGAAATGTTATCTAAATTATTAATTATACATTAATTAACCTATCCAGACCATAATCAACTCTAGATGGCATCGCTAGCCTGCGATCTTAAGTGGATTGTGAGCCGATTTACTGCATAACTTTCCTTCTCCATTAAACGATTAAATGGATAATCGAGACTATGCTGTTTATCGTACTGACTTTAGTAATGATGACCGAGGCTAGGCAGAAATTTGATTCGCTTAGTTCTCGGTTCATAGTGGATCAATTTGAATGAAATTTTCAGCCAACTCGTTACCGAATCTCCCATAATGTATCTTTAAGTTACGTGCAGAGGGAAGATACGTCGTTTTCGCTCACATGTAGTAGAAACAGTTACACTTACATACCCTCCTAGATCGAGCCTTTTTCTGATCGGTTTCAAAACTAATTTGACTGGTTGTATAAAGTACATTTTGCACCTCTCCCCACAAACATTTGTGTTCAATGCTATCATGAATATATATTTAAATCCCGTGTAAGTTCATTGAATAAATACCGATATTGACTGAGAAAACGGATCGTTTTTTGTTTACCTATTATGAATGAATACTTACTTCAAAAATTAGAAGTTTGCAAACAAGTGCCGCTGAATCAAGAAAGTCACCCCCTAAAAGGCGAAGCTGAGTACATTCACCACCATAATTTGTATTCCTACAATTTGGTGGGTAATATATCAATGGTGGGATCTTGAGCGATATTGAACAATCCAGGCTTCCGTATCCTTCATTACAGTCACATAATCCTATCAAATATTAAAACAAATCCTATTAATCATATCTTAATATTTTGCGCGGCATGCAGTGGGGTGTGTGGCATAGTCGCTCTAAACCATAAGGCCTACAGGGCGTTACTGGCGAAGGCCATTACATAGTGTCTATCATAGGGACAATAGTTTCGCTAATAAAAGTCAGGTGTCTCTGAATTTCAACAGTTTTCATGTCTATGAGCTCATCGCCATAACTAACAGTAGGGTTTATCCTTATACAACCCTGACTTGTAGATCGCATACAAAGAATCGATAGCAGGGGTAGTGGCTTGAATTTCGACATGCTCCCTGTTTCTGAACCCAACAGATGCCTATAACATATCCATTAATCAAAAAGGGTTGATTGAACGGATGAGCAAGTAGACGACAATATACTACCATATTAACATGCGGACATAAACGCGGCATGCCTTATTAATAGGGGGGTTTGATGGCCGATTGGTTAGCACGTGCGCGCTGTATCATAAGGTCTGTCATTGAGACAACTGGCGGGGTTTCGATTCTCCGGTTGTACGTGACAAGGAGTGGGGTCGCCTGTCCAACCTCGTGGTTTTTCTCCGGGTCTTCCGGTTTCCTCCCACTGCTACAAGCAAGCGAATTATTGAACCACGCGTTAGTCCCGAAATGACCTAGTTTGTGTCGAGTGGACGTTTCTCTCTCTCTCTCTCTCTCTCTCTCTCTCTCTCTCTCCTTCTTAGTATTTTTATTAGAAACATTCATATAATCTCACCTTGATTACAGGTACCATGATGAGAACATTCTGAAGGACAGGCTACTAGTTTAATCTGATCAAAGATGGATGGTTGGTTTGTTGTTGATTGTTGAAATCTGGTATCATAACTTACTTCATGAAAACATGAGGTTTTTATAGTTTCCAAGGCAACCAGAGCAAAGGCCGTGTTTCCTACCAGCTAGAAGTAAACCAGTTCAAATAAACCAGAAATAAAAGAACAGTTTATTGTTGAAATACTGTATATACTACTGATCAATTTTGTCCAACTTCAGGTTATCACTCAATATAAAGCCAGTGTGAGTGTCGCGTGCAAGACCGGCTATGCTTACTTTTTCATGAACACTCTGTACCACATTCCATTATTGAATATTCCTGATGTGACAAGTCCATCTTGTACTTATCGTGTGTGATAAGTTCTCTTTCTGTCGTTGGTCAATTTAGCCGAATTCGTCCCCTGTCCTTTGTATTTCACGACTGGCTATAGAGGCCCGAGTGTGTTTGATCTTAATAGCGCATTTTTCAATGCACAAGGTCTAACCGAAACTATGAAGTTAACATCTGGTAAAATGGCATTTTAAAATAACATGACGTGCGTCCATCCATTGTATTACTACATAATGATAATAATGCATTTAAAGAACTATTGTTATTCGACATGACGTGTTGTTCAGTATCATCAAAACACGACGCATATTAAAGTCACCGAAAAACAAAGCAAATGAAAACCAAACCTAATTTGGAAAGTTTACGAATGTCATTTCGTGTGGCTGAACAACCAGAATAATTAAAAGCTTACTTTCAATACACCACGACAAAACTAAACCGCCATAATGGTTGAACTTTCAGTTAGTAGGTTTCAGTTAGTCATCCGTTAAGGGGCTCTGGTCTATAATATTATTATTATTATTATTATTGTTCGATTTATATAGCGCTTCATTACACGTGAAGTGTTTCTAAGCGCATATCACAAACATATACTTCAAACACACAGAAACAATCAAAATCAGGAGAACATAATTAAACATCCGTTACGTAATTATGCCACCTATCTCCCCCTTTTTTGTAGATTAATGTATTAATTGCTCAAATATAAATTATGCCTGTTGTATCATTTGTTCTGTCTATTTAATAAATACATGTCATTTTATTGTTAATGTCTTCCTTTAGTATACACGGTAACAAAATAGTCTGAAATCATGACTATTCCCATACTGAGACCCCTTCCCTCACCACATACAGCTTTAACGATGCATTATATAAGAGCTAAATCTGCCTAATGCAGATCTTTCGTTTGGCTTCAAATGTCATACAATTCATTAATTAGACCTTTATTTACATGTCAAGTCCATTATCACCCCTGTAGACCATCAGATGCTTTTAAATTTAATCACGATTGCCGGTTAATAACAAAATTAAACAAGCTGTTGTCATGTAAGATACGCCCACGATGTGCAAGCGATATACAGAGAAGGGGCTAAAAGAGCGATTTTTCATACAATCGGGGGCCATAACATCCAGGAACCGAGATCTTTGGAATAAAAACATACATTTTAAGTTTCAACGAAATCGGATAAAAATTGAGACCTCTATAGGGTCCACAAGCTAAACAACATGATTTCTTCGTACAATCCGGTGTCATAATCAGGGTTCCGATATGCGCCAATATCAAAAGGAATCGAGATACGTGAGTTTAAACATACCTTTTAAATTTCATTAAAATGAGATTAAAACCGCCACCCGTAGAGTGTTGGCAATAATCTTAAAACGATATTTTTCGTATAACCAGGGGCAATAATCCTTGAAGTTACTCTCCGATACGTATCAATATCGAAAGGAATCGAGATATTTGGGAGATAAACCTATATTTCAAGTTTCGGCAAAATCAAATAAAAATTGTGACCTGCAGATAGGGTCCACAAACAAATATGAACGGACGGACACACGGACAATATACTTCCACATAAAAATGTGGGTGCATTAAAAGAAAAAAAAGCAGACATGTACATGTGATCAGACAATATCGAAATGATGACCATTACATTTTTTGGTAATAATCCCTGTTTCACCCATCTCTGTGTTAAACGTTTGACACGGTCATAATAAAACGACCTTGTTATTGTTGATGAATATACAGGGTAAATATTATCCACCCAATGGACCATGCGAGACATATTTTTGTCATCATTTGGTTGCCTTCGTTTCTGTTGTCAGGGATAATAACGGCACGAGAGAAAGGTCTCTTGTGGCATCACATTGATTTCCAAGAAGAATCCCTACCTTTATATCAAGAACACAGTTCTCAAGTGGTCCCTGTATATCGGTAGCCACGGTATTGCTACAGATCTGAACAGTTGATGAATTCTTTAATAGACTAGTACAGTAATCTGTAGCCGACCTCTCTGTCCACCCATTTATCCATACAGGATATGCAGCCTGAAAAATAAGTATAACAGCACGGCATGGCCAATAGTCCGAGTGTGTTTTTGTTAACAAGTTGGATTTCTCAGCGGCGTCACCTTCTACTCTTCATCGATGTCCAAATCGTTCTTTACGTTCAAACCTATCCTGCCCACGAGCAATGTCTTTGCCAGTCCCACAGACTGATAATTAAAGATCGGGTATGAAACATCTTGAAGGTTATATTCTCGGTATGCGAGGTTCGTCAAAGACGGGACATTCCAAGAGCAAAACAATAATTATACTGAGCATTGATAAAATATATGTACGGTAATAGTATCCGTTACGGCGATCAAGGGTCAGATATTATAGTAAGCTAAATTTTTTGTGCCACTGTCTAGAAATTATATATTTCTATTACACGTTTAAAAGATGAAAGTGAAAGATGTATGCTTTTTCCGAATTTGTCATATTAATATCGTAACTGCTAGTCAAACAAGGGATACCAGTATATCTTATATACATAATATTGCGCATCTTGTAAACCCAAAAGAGCTTGTTAATGATGATTGGTTGGTTGGTTCCAAGTTACCCCTTTCCCTCCACAGCTCTGAGCCAATGATATAGGGATATAGATTTTTTCATCTGCTGTATATATAGCAGAACCGAAAACATTTAACACTCATCGTAATTATAATGTAGAAATGAATAAATTACCTGCCGCTTGCTGATGTGTAATTGTTCTGAAGATCGTGGTACACGATAAGGGTTTCTTACCGATCTTGGTACACGATAATGGTATCCTACCGATCGTTTTGCTATGTAGGTCGTCTCACAGCCCTTAATAGATGTATAGTCATATATATCCTTGGGCTCGCATTTCTGTGAGCTCTTACATACAATTTGTGTAAGCTTAGTTTCATCGCACTTGCATAAAAACAGATTACCCTTAGCTCCCAGTAGATTTTCGATTTTGTCGGAAAACAGGTCTATCGTAGACTCTACCCTGCAAATATTATAAACAACATCGCCGGTCCATGGAATTATTTCTACATTGATTCATTTATCATGTGGATTCCATTTGTTTTATATACGTTATTATTGTTTTGATAGGCCATGTACTGAGATGGATTGTAACAACGAGCCTCGTATCCTGCAAATCGTATAAATAGCATCACGAGTCCACTGAATTATTTCTCATCGATTTAAGTCTAAAACTGATAGATCCTAAAAACTAACGGGCATTAGATTTCTTTTGTGCATTAATCATTTTCATTAAAACATTCCAATTTCTGGACGAACTGGAATAAGATTTCATCTCTCCCTTCATTTTAACGGGGATATTTCTCTGGTTACCTCGGTATCTACTCGGGTTACATCTCGAAATATTTCAACGTCAACGGTTCTTTACCATTGATGAAACCGTCTATTCAGGTTGGATGGCTGAATGTTAGCACGTGTGCGCTGTATCATAAAGTCTGTCATTGAGTCACCTGGCGTGGTTTCGATTCCCCGGTTGTACGTGACAAGGAGTAGGGTCGTCGCCTGTCCAACCTCGTGGGTTTTCTCCAGGTCCTCCGCGGTTTCCTCCCACTGCTAAAGACCCCTACGCGCAAGCTAATTATGGAAATTAAATTGAACAATGTGTTAGTCCCGAAATTAGCTAGTTTGTGTCGAGTGGACGTTAAACCCCATTTCTCTCTCCCTCGATACGTCTATCTGGGCGGACCAGGGTTAATTAACACCCTCCGGCTATATATGCACACGCAGAATTGTTCCATTTCGGTATATCAATAATGTCAAGTGCCATTGGCTCCACATCCTGCTCGGCTGGGTTGGCATTCGCAGACAAGTTTTTACAGGTGATCGTCAAAATGTATATTTTGCCAACCCACATTTTTGAGCTATCGTTCTGAAGTATTTACTCATCTCATTTACCACTGGTCACTTGACAGATTTATGGCGGGGTATCAGGTTCAAAATGCGATCTGCAGTAGAAAGTAGAAAATAAAAAGCAAAAGAGAAAATTCTTATCCAAAATGGACATTTTCGTGTGGGAACCATATACCGTTCACGCTTTTCAACCTAATACGTCCACCTTTTCAACTTTAAGTCGTGAATATTCTACTTTCAACAACAGAATTTCTACTTTCAACAACAGAATTTCTAGAATTTCTACTTTCAACAACAGAATTTCTAATTTCTAGAATTTCTACTTTCAACAACAGAATTTCTAGAATTTCTACTTTCAACAACAGAATTTCTACTTTCAACAACAGAATTTCTTTCAACAACAGAATTTCTAGAATTTCTACCTTCAACAAGAGAATTTCTACTTTCAATAATCAACTTTTGACATTCGACTTTCAACTTTAGATTTTCTACTCAAGATTTTCTGCTCGAGATTTTCTCCATGCATATTACGGAAATAGATTTGATCACGTGACTATTTCTGCATGTCATTATGAGATCGTTTATTTTTACGGGAAAATACCGTATTTTAATGACATGCAGAAATAGTCACGTGATCAAATTTATTTCCGTAATATGCATGGAGAAAATCTCGAGCAGAAAATCTTGAGTAGAAAATCTTAAGTTGAAAGTCGAATGTCAAAAGTTGATTATTGAAAGTAGAAATTCTCTTGTTGAAAGTAGAAATTCTCTTGTTGAAAGCAGAATATTTACGACTGAAAGTTGAAAAGGTGGACGTATTACGTTAAAAAGCACGAGCGGTATATGTTTCCCACACGAAAATGTTCATTTGGGATAAGAATTTTCTCTTTTGCTTTTTTTTTTTACTTTGTACTGCAGATCGCATTTTGAACCTGATACCCCGCCATACAGATTCGCCACCTTACAATTGAAAGTTTGCTAGTGGCGGTAATTACTTCCCGCGATAATTGACAACCAGCTTCCCACTATTCAGAGTGAAGTCGTCAGCTCAAAGTGCCAAAATGTATTGAGTGTTAGAGCAGTAGTAATCTCATGAAATGACTCTACGATACGGTAATTTCGAAAGATTTCCTAAGGATGGGTAGACACTTACACCCCTTTAACGTTTAACGTCTTCCGAACCACTCAAAATGTACTTCCCGCAGTGTTGTAAGTTTTATGCTCGAAATGGAATCTACACATATATGAAAACATAAAGACTGTACATACCCCCAAGATTCTGAAAACCTTGGCATTCCAGACCACTGATAATTTGAGACTTCTTTATCTCTACCAATAAACGTATTGGTAGTAATTTGACCACACAATCCTTGAGCACGATCCTTGTCAGCAACCGATGGATTCACGTAGACATTCAGGAAACTTCCAGTTGTCACGAGTTTAATGGTGGTAGAACTTGGTAGGCGAATCTGTATTTCATGATACATAAATAACAAGCCAACAATGAGGCTGATGTCCCCCATCAAAATCCCGAAATAAATAGATGACACATATTAATTAAATGCACGTTTATCGTTTTCAAAAGTATCGAGCAATGAAACTGATCATCAACTATACATTAAGTTTCATCACTCTCTGTCAGACAGAATCAAAGTCAAAGAAATTGCTAAGCAATGATTAAAACACAGATCCTAATTCGTTTCGTTTTTATAGTTCAAAATTTCGTTTTACTTGTCTTTACTACACTAGGATCTGGAAGAGTTATCATTGACGTGTTCTGGGTGATGTGAGGGATTAGCCAATGAAACGGTCTGATACGGCAAGTTCTTGGCCTTTTGATGCACGGAACTGTGGGTAAACCACTAGAAATGTCAACGCTGATTGATTCATCAATATCTGACGTCAAAAGCATCAACCAATCAAATTGCTTACCATTAGCAGAAAATTGTTATCTTCGAACTCTATCAAGGCATTCACCTAATAAACACCTACACCAAATGTAAATATTGTTGTTCAATTAGAAGGAGGGTCCAAAGTCTCGACGAAATTGCTTATCGCTCTGCTTACCCTAAGCAGAAAATGTTTATCTCCGGACTCGATCAAGGCATCGATCTAATAAACACCTACACCAACATTTATCATTATTATTACTATTATTAAAAACGGAAGCATAATAACATGTATTAATAATAACTAGACTTGTGAAAGTGACAACTTTGATTGTTTTTATATACAACACTCACAAATTATTACCTTAATTACAATATCTAGTAAAGTAAGGCGTTTTGTTGAGCGAGACGTAACATTTTTTTTTTTAAATTTAAACACTACATAGTAAGGCACATCTTTGATGTATTGTTTAAACACCGAACAACTCCATTTTCTGTGGTCAAGTAATGTACTTAGGGCCGGTGTGGGTCTTTATCCGGCCCTGTCAGGTTTCCTCATAAGGTAGGCTATAATTCGATATACCTTGAGACTTTGAAGAATGTATAGAAATTGGTATAATCTTATGTGATGCCTTACCTTATGTTGAGTGGCGCTATGTTGTCGAACGTCAATACGTGTTGGTCCATCACACTGGGCGTATCCACTTTTCCAAAATTTATCTGAACAATGTTCTCTTCTGTAAACTTCACGTCCAACACGGATAGCTATACCACAGACACAGGTAACCCGGCTCCCAGGTCCGCAAGGTTTAGTCTGTATTTGTATCTACAATAAAACCGAGATTAAGTAGGTTTGTTTTGTATGTTTTGAAACAAACCGACTTAGAAATCTATTAACGCCTATGAATCCAACACAGTCCTTGCAATACATTAAAACGAAGATCGTAAATAGCCTTACATGAGCGATATTTCTAATAAGTAATTTGGGTTGTCTATGACCCTATATTTAATAGTTGAGTTGTTGACATGTTGTTTTCCGTAAAAGGACATTAGCACCAGTGATTTATTGACTTTTGAGCACAATCTGTCAGATTCATCGGATGTGTTAAAGGGTTTCAAACATTTGACCTTTTTTGCTACGCCCGTTCAAGGGAATCTATAGGCTCTGGCTACATTTGCCTACGTAGCATTCCCTGATTCATGTATGGTTATACTTCCTAATCGTTTCACCTCACGATAATGACTATTCGCCGAACTAAACCTGGCTGTAAATATATAAATAAATTCAAATACTGTTTTTCGATTCTCTACAACAAAGTCAACACAAAATGACTGTCAAAAAGTGGAAATGGGGGCTTCAATGTTTAATATGATTATTATTTCAATGAAATGTGAGCCAGCGCTATACGATTTAAGTTACTTTTAGCAGCCATTTTCTAGATAGTTTATTCTTCCTTTATAAATATTTCCAATCCCACTGTTGGTAATTATCAGATATTATAGGAATATTTCGTAATAATAATTTATTACCTCTTGTTTCCACGCCTTATTTTCGTACAAGGTGAAAACTCCTTTATAGTGATGTTCATACGGCCTTTAAAATAGAAACAAATGGGAAATAATTTAGTCTGGGATATTTCTGGATTTCATTAAGAAAATAAACATTTTATCCCCACCATATAAACCTCCGACTAAATCCACTTATTATTTTATTCATTTTGCCTTATAGTTTTACTCTGATATCCCTTAGCAATTTTATTTGTCTGATTAATAGTGACTTGAATCACTGAGAAACCAGTACTTTCAATATTCGAATTATTACCATTGATTTAGCGAGAGAGCGAGAGAGGGAGAGAGAGAGAGAGACAGACAGGCGTAAGGGCTCGATGACAGTAAAGGGGGGCAGAATGCCCGAAAAAAAATATTCGGGTTAAAGAGAGCGGAGGAGCGAAGCTTACCGTGTAGGGAACCCAAGAATATTTTGGAAAATTTGACGGCCGCAAATGAGTTTTCCTGTTATTTCAGCCTCTCAATACAGTAACTTCAAAGTGGTCTAAAATAGCCTAATTAAGATGGCCGACTCGAATTCCAATCACCAATCAATCGGTTACAGTCCACGGAGACGGGGCCGTCGGGAGAAAACTGCTGCAAAGTCGTTTTGCTGCTATTTCAGTCCGTGAGTACACCAACTTTCAATGTGGTCCAATATAGCCTACCTTTCGTGGCTGACCTGAATCCCCAACAACCAATCAATCGTCCCGGGGTATTGGCGCCTCGCCCTCCCGGAGAAAATTTTGAAGATTTAACTACTGCAAATGCTTTTGTCTGCTTCTCTAGCCCGTGAGTTAAGCAACTCTAAAGTTCTCTAAAGGTTTCGTAACCGATATCCAACGCTATGCCATTCACAAATAATAATCGATGCCCGAAAAATGTTGCACGAAGTCGAGTGGCCATAAACAAAATGTTTTAATCCATAATCAATTCAGTACAAATTCGTGATATTCAATTTAAAGAAAGTAAAATTAATCTTTTATTTTGCCAACTAGATGAAATAATATATTTATTTTTTTTCACCTTACACGTCTGCCCGATAAGTCAGATCCCCCCCCCCCCCCGGCTCGTACGCCTATATACTTACGTTCCAAAGAACGTCTTGATGTGTGGATCACATACAGCATGACACTCCTTGCCTTTAATAGGAGTTGTATCCTGAGAAACTACGACCTGAAATGCACCATAATTAAAATAAAAGCAGATACATGTATATCAGTATCCTTATATATTGCGTTAAAGGTAATTAAATTAGTACGCTGGATATCCTTCCATATTGAAACTGAATTTATCATTATCAATGTAAACAATGTATAAAACAGTTACATTTATTAAAATAAATAAGTTGTAGGTTAAGTTGGAGTCAAGATATGCGTATTCTGTATTAGTGTAATGCTAGGTACATGACGATCGCATCACACATAAACAAATACAAACCACAAAACACACCAAACATATATGTCAAATTAAGTGAATGGATCTGTAGGCTATCCCATTTTTATTCCTTTTGTGTGTTCAATTCTGAGTTTTCCGAAATATATCTGGATTATCGTCCTCATTTATGACCTTCTACCTCGTCACGTCAATTAGCTAACTATCGCCACCAAGACACGCCATTCAGCAGACGACCACCTTCAAGGCCGCTAAGAATTACTATATTGATACAGGCCCGGTTCTGCATAGATAACAAACCTCATCTCTCAACCCTCCGTGTTTCGAGATAAGAGATTGGCCTATATAGTTCATGTAGCAAATCCCAACGCGAATCAGATCGGGCTTCATTAAGCGCAATTGACAACATTTTCTTTATCAAAACAACGATTGATTATTGTTATTTATAACATTTCTGCAACATCCAACTACAATTACGCATATAATCCTACCTGAAATGGGTACAAATCATCGCATTTTAAATCGAGCCGTTGTAAGCCGTTAGTAGGAAGCCATCTTGAAAAGCTGTCTGTCATTAAAAGAAGCCATTCGATTCCATAAACCCTGCAATGAAAGCTCTACGCACTCTTCGAACGATGCCATTTTGGGAATTTCTTTCTAAAAGCGGCAAGTTTTAACAATAAATAAACCGGTGGCCGCATCACAATTGTGTAGGTGTTGCTACATATTATCATTGACCGTATAAACGTCCATGATATCACTTACCCTCGCACAGCCGAGGATAGATGTAGGGTACCCGATACGGTCCAGATGTCGAGGTTTTCCGAATGAAAAGAAGCGTGTAAGATGGACTTCGATGGCGTTTTCAAGTCGGATACAAACGACGTTTCATTAATTTAAACAGGAATATTTCAAAAAAGGCGATAGCTTTGTCACTACATTGGTCCCTGTAAGTTTAATTAGTCATAATAGGATAAAATCATTTTATTTTTAAGATGTTACATGTATTAATAAAACAATTAAACTGAAGGCTCCCAATCGTAGCTAAAAACAAACACATCAGTATATCTCAATGTTTTTTGCTACGTAGGGGGGTTGGATGGCTGAATGGTTAGCGTGCGCGCGCTGTATCATAAAGTCTGTCATTGAGTCGACTGGCGTGGTTTCGAATCCCCGGTTGTACGTGACAAGGAGAAGGGTCGCCTGTCCAACCTCGTGGGTTTTCTCCGGGTCCTCCGGTTTCCTCCCACTGCTAAAGACCCCTACGCGCAAGCGAATTATGTAAATAAAATTAAACCATATGTTAGTCCCGAAATGACCTAGTTTGTGTCGAGTGGACGTTAAACCCCATTTCTCTCTCTCTTCCTTTTTGCTACGTTCTCGTAGCTAGGTATTGCACAGTGCAGTGGACCCTTTCGGCTGCCATCGGGCCCATTCGTTTAATTAGATAAAATGTTTGTTGTGTACTGCTTAGTTTGTGTCCCATCCCCAGGTTCGTTTTATCGGATTTGACTGCGTGTAGTACGATCAAAACGTCCTTTCATAATAGTGTGATTCATGATCGCCTAGTATGTGCATCATTGTCAGTACACTATCAATTTATAGATATCAATTATCCAAAAATGAGGTAAAACGACTACATCATATTCCTTCTGGTTTTGTACTATGTTTCGTCAGCCGACCCAGTTACTTGACAAATATTATATATATTAAAATAAAATTAAACCATGTTACATTGTAACACGTGTTGTGATTGGCCATTAGCAACAATGTAAGACAACACAAAATGATACAAGAACACAATAAACATTATGTTTTTTCAAAGAGCAATTGATGATTTATTGAGAAATTGAAATGAAATTGCGTTTAACGTCTTACTGTTCTGCCCCAACTCAGCTAATGAAGACGGACATACACAATACTTGTGCTAGGAGGGATTTTTTTTTGCCCGGACAGCGGCACTATGGCCTACTCTTTTATATAATTCCAACTGAAAAGGGATCCTTTAACGTGCACACCGATATATAAACGGGACTCGGTTTTGCGTCGCATTCGAACAACTAGACAACAGTCCTTGTCAGGTCCTCCATCCACGTCGGAAAAATCGGGATAAACTTTCTCGTCCACATGCAGGGATCGAACAACCGACCTCCAGGCTAGTGAGCCAACTTCTTACCCGCTTAGCCACCGTGGCCCCCAACATGAAATTAAATGGGGTTTAAAATTCTACCTTTCTGGGGTGATATGAGTGGCATACATATGGATTCGAAGCGGATTGTAAATATACTTACTTTCACAGTGCCAATCGTCTGGTTCCCCCAGATTTGTTGCGGGAAGTAATCCTCCACTGTTTTCAAGTGTACAAACGTTACAGCAACTGGATTGGCATTTAAACCTGGAAGGCTACCCCTGAGGGTAATACTATAATTGGCATGCCATTTCGTTCCTTTGATCTTGAATCCACACCTCGAAAAAGAAGGTGACAGGGCGCAATCGTCGTTATCTTTCACTTTGAGTAAATTTACTTCTAATTCACAGGGAAGAGCGTCAAAACAACCAATGGGTGCTGTTGCTCTTACAGTGATAATTGCGTCTTCGCCATCTTTCACATACACTGTGGGTGTTAAGATCTAAAGAAGATTTGATTTCAAACTAGATGATACAAAATATACCTAACATAATTTACAAGAACCAATAACTTTAGTAACTTGTGAGAGCCATGCACCACGACCATTGTATAATGACCTACATTTCTCCAAACCATTACACCAAGTAAGTAGACATTTCCATTATAACAGGTCACAAGTCTATGAAATACAATTACGGGTATTATTGAGCAACGCATCGACAGAATATACACGCGTAAAACAATACATTGTTAATGCTCATCAACCAGAGGCAGCCATCTAATTACCTTGAAGGAAATCTAACAATTTGTGTACCAGCTATTCATTACTTTCTATTTCACATAAAAATGAGAAAATGGCTTAGGAATAACACTTACCTCAATCCCAATGAATCTGTTACTACTATCTGTAACTGGGCTAGGTGTCGAATCGACCGTTTTGCTAACTGTGTAGCCACATCGTATCTGATTATATAAATATAATAAATACAGTTACCGACTGAATGTACAATAAACATTGTCAACCAGATTGAAAGTACAATAATTAAAAATGAATGCTAATGTCAAAATTGCCATTAACATCACATCAAATATTTCGTTTTTATGGGTAAGGTTCGAATGGATAATGATGCACAAACAGCCAAGCTAATCAATAGTTAATTTTCCCATTAATGTAAAATGTCATACCCAAGAAAACAAATGTAAATTATACTGGTATAATGTCAATCGGCCCTTAAAATGAAAAAAGAACCATAAATGTTTAATTGCTTTTAGTACAATTTGTAATCCAAGATTATATATTAGGAAGCTATTGGAATACCAAGAGCGGGGTAGCAGTTAAGCATGTTTCAAATTATGTATTATCAATAACTGTTACCTGAAATCCAACTGTCTTTATACCAGCCGCTTTGATTTCCGTTCCAATCAACAATGTCTTGGTTTGCATATCGGCTGATTTTTGGAAAGGATCCACTGTTTTGATTAGTTTATTATTTACATACCACGTGACAGTATACCATATGTCATTATGTGCGGGTTTTGTTGACGCCACAAAATTACAGACGAACTTAAACTCGTTGCCTTCCGTTTCCATCAGTGGCTCTATCTCCACATTCACACTTGTTATATATTCTGGATAATCATCTGCAAGGAACCAGACATACAGGTTTTTTTAAAACATTGAGGTATATTATATCGTGTATGTGTGTGGGATGGGGTTAGTTTATTTAATAAACTATTTACAGTGAAATGTCGAACGGATATTTATTAAGATATGGGGGTGGATCAATTTGAGTCTGTTGAAAGACAGATATGGTAGGGCATTATGCAAGAGCTAAATGTGAATATTACCTAGGGTGACCCACCATAAATAAATATCTCCATATATCTCCATATATCTCGACAATTACGCCACAATATTTATATATATGCCAAGCCTCAAATCAGTTTCACACAATTATAGTCACTAAATAAACGATCATGTTGTACTTAATAAGCTATGACCATTAATCATCTATAAATAATAGACTGAAAACTGGTTCCAAGTGTCGTCCATAACATCCAGACACTTTTGAGTAAAAGATAGGTTACGTGCCCTTGTTTTGAAATTAGTCTCGCTTAACCAGTCTATTGACCATTCTACGTCTGATTGACAGGTCGGGATAATCAAGACTACTTTTTTACGAAACATAACAGAAAGCTAGAACAAGAAATTGAATTTAGAAATGAGCACGTTAGGTAGCTCAACAATCGTTTTAAGAACCTTGTAAAAGTAAAATGAAACTACTGCTAGTATCATGTTCCTGTCTAACCCGAGTGATTCAGAGATATTATTTGTACTAAACCAAAAGATGCCGCTCTTAACGGTACAGTTAATGATAAAGCGATTTAAAAAATGAAACGAACGTAATTTCTAAATCTGCTGTAATAACCAAGAAGCTTAATTTCACTGCTATTCAAAATCGTCAACAATAAATTTTTTACGGCTGTAATAGTTGATAGATTTGTAGACAATTGCACGTGCCATGGCTATTTATAGTATCATACTGTCAGAAAGTTGGTCTCGGCACGGCGAATGTGTACGCTTCAGTGGTAGTCTCGAACTATCAGCGGTGGACTTTATTTCTGTAGAGTACATGGGCCACCCTATATTACCTTGCGGTTGTCTGTCTTCAATGGCTTTATAGTTGGCTTAAAGCTTGGTTGGATGAGACAAAGCCCGCAATAGTATGGCCGACGATAGCCGAAGTGGGTCTGACACCGCGTCTATTATTATGAACTGTCGGTGTTGTTTCCAATCATGGCTATTTCTTGACAAAATTATAAACATTCAGTACTTCGACCAGAATAAAGCAATAAGACTTAAATTTTCATTACGTTTATTTCCATTATTCATGTTTGAATTTTATAGCAAGCTCTTTCTCTAAATCTCGCCTAATGTGTCTTCAACAAATGCTCAAAATTGATAAAATGTAACCTATGCCTTGCTACTGAAGTTAAGTTAAAAATAGTATAGTTACCTGATATTTCATCTGAAATTAGAAACAAAAATTCTTGACAATAGGAGTAGAAATAATTATAAGCAAAGGCAGACTTTAACAATTTCCGGGATTTGACCAATTCGAATATCTTATTTTAACATTCTTCGTTCACAAGTGTTAATGCAGAATGATCCATCTGAATCACCGTGTTAACTAAAGTACCCCGTCAAAGTACCGTGTTCTATGATACATTCCCTTAAGTTCTATGATAGTCAAACATAATTATATAAACACATATAGGTTGTCAAATCACTATTATACAATCATGGGTTTCATTCTAGCACTTAAAAGCATTCACATAACTATTTGAAATATTGTCTACTCCCCCACGTTGCTTGCGCATTGTATCATTTGTCACTGGCAAAATAAGTCTACATAATGGGAGCAGGGATTTGTCTCGATTGTTCAAATCTACAGTTAAACAGATAAGGATATCGATGCCAGGTTGACCGAGCTAACATCACCTCACTTGTTCTGTGGACACCGTGGCACTTACAATGTCAACGTTTTACTTTCAGCAAAAAATGGGTATATTTACCCATTTCTCAACTGACACTAGCGAATTATATAGTTAATAGAATTGTTCTTTGTTCTTTCGTGTTTCGAAAGATATGATCACGTGACTTTACGAGTAAAGAAGATACATACCAGCACAGTAAGATGAATACCCTGAAGTGGATCGTTTTAAATTATACACCATAAAATTATTACAGCGTTTAGTTTCTAACTGGAAAGTTTTGAAACAAGAGTTACTTCGAGGTGATTGCACACAAAATGTACGTTTCTCCAGAACATCTATAGGATCATCCCCTGATGTAGAATATACAATCGTTATACAATTAATAGTATCGATGGTCATGTCTGGTAATACAAGAAGACGTGCATATCATTACAATCAGACCGATATAGAATATGCAATCATTAGTATCGGTAGATACAATAATATCGATAGTACAAACAGCTTTGCCTAAACAGTAGCTTATCTGAAATGAAAACTTATATAGAGTTAACATGCTTTCCTCGACAAAGAATATATCCCTGTAATATATGCCTGTGCTTCAATAAGGTTAAAGGACAATATTGGTGTCGGTCATTATCACATATGTGATAGAACTGGTTCAACACGTTCCAAATATAATTTTAACACAGAGATCATTGCTACGATAGATGCGTAATGAAGATTTAAAAAAAACAACGGAAGTGACGAAAGGAATACACGGATTATCCTTCTATACTCCGCCAAATTAAAAACTTGACACTGATGAATTTCAACAATTTTTTTTTTCTGTTAAGTCAAATAAATTTTAAAGTGTTTGTAACGATAGTAAGTAATAAGAAGCCTTTAATTTCATAAAATTGTAAAGTCACGTGGATCACGTGACTTTTGAGCATATAAAGATGAAAAACCTGAAAAACACGTGCAAACACAAACTCGTATGTCAATCGATGCAAGTTTGCTTAAACTGAACACGCACACGAAACTTAGACTGTAAAAACAAATTAAAATTGTTATTTTCATCTTTGTTAGAAAATGCCGCACCTTTCAAATGTAGAACGTCTACGTGCTATAGGTAGGCTCTATGCTGGTCAGTCTGTGGTCACTGTTGCAAGAGCCTTTAATTGTTCACGCCAGACAATAATTAATCTTAGAATGAGAGTGCTTCAAACTGGGACTATTGCCGACCGCCCGAGGGCGGGAGCGCCGCGTGTGACGTCATTCCAGGAAGATCAAGCAATACGATTACGTCATCTTAGAAACAGATTTGTCACTGCAACCTCCACAAGTAGAGAGATGTTTGGTGGAAGGGTAACTGCACAAACTGTTCGAAATCGCTTGCAGGCTGCTGGTCTTCGAGCTCGGAGGCCCTATAATGGACCAATATTGACACCTCTTCATCGCCGTAACCGACTTGTGTGGGCTACAAGACACATAAGATTTACTCAAAGACAGTGGAATTCGGTTGTCTTTAGTGACGAATCTCGATTCACTTTGAGATTTGCCGATGGCAGGGTCCGAGTGTACCGCAGACGAGGTGAACGTCAGCAAGTGAATCCACCACTGACGTTGCAGGACCTTCAACATGCTCTTGCTGAGCAGTGGCGACGTCTTCCTTGGGTAGTGTTTACTAATGTTCTGAGATCCATGAGAAGACGTTGTGTGGCAGTACGAGACGCTAGAGGAGGCCACAACCGTTACTAAACACTTTATTCCGATTGTTCTCCAAGCCTCTGAATTTCATTTTGGGGGGTACTGTGACATCACGAACGTTATCAATGTCAAGGACTTTCGGCGAGACGTATTCTTGCTTTCTGTTGATGTCAAGGTCGTCTGTGCAGAACATAACACTAAAAAAGTTGCCTTAAACCAAATATTAAAAATCGAGTCCCAAAAATCCCGAGTGGCAAGTTTTTAATTTGGCTGAGTATATATAACCGTCTGAAGTGATGAGTGATAACAGATACACGAGCGAATTTCTGCTCACTAATAATTCCGTGTTTAACCAGTTTTATCACATGTGATAATGACTGACACCAATATTGTATTTTAATCCTCTCAGAGTGCTAATGTTTCACACAAAACATCTGTTAAAGGGACAACACGCTTGAACCATTCCGTTAAAAACACCGCTCCCTCTATCGCTTTAACGAAGTTTTCGGAAAATGGGGTAACTCAGGAAAGGAAGGTCACGGAATCGTGAATGATTATATTATGGTCATAGCCTATATTATGTTCACAAGGTGTTTGACAAAGGGGGTATTACTCTCATGAACCAAATGCTTTGTTAAAAAAAACTGTAGGTAGCCTCTATCGCGTTCATATAATTTTCGCCAAAAGCGCTTAAATCTGGAACAGAAAGGGTTCATGCTCATGTGACCACAATGCCTTCACACCCGATTTGAATAGAATATGTGACACGGAAGAAAACGGAATAACGATAGAATTAGTCCTTTCGTGATCCCAATTGGCTCATCTACAAATTTGAAAAGAATCCGTTTTTGGCCAAGGGGGGTGGGGAGAGAAGACAATGCTTCTCACTAAAAATGAAAAGAATCCGTGTGTACAAGGTTTTAGGCAAAGGGAGGGTTTAACTCTGGGATGGAATATATCTTCTCGTGATCCCAATGCTTCACAATAAAAACGGCAAGCTCTATGGCGTTCTCGTAGTGGTCGGCAAAGAGAGAGAGAAATGGGGTTTAACGTCCACTCGACACAAACTAGGTCATTTCGGGACTAACGTATGGTTTAATTTTATTTCAATAATTCGCATGCGCGTAGGGGTTTTTAGCAGTGGGGGGAAACCTGAAGACCCGGAGAAAACCCCCGAGGTTGGACAGGCGACCCTACAACCGGGGATTCGAAACCACGCCAGTCGACTCAATGATAGACTTTATGATACAGCGCGCGCACGCTAACCATTCAGCCATCCAACCAAAGAGGTATCGAAAGTTGTAGAACGCTAATCTGTTAAAAACTGTAGCCTATATCGCGTTCACAAAGGTTTCTGCAAGTGAGGAAAACTCTGGATCGGAAAGTCGATCGAGTTCATCCGCTTACCGCCCATGTCTCTCAAAACATTCGTTAAAAATTACAGCTTCTATCTATCGAATTCACAAGGCTTTCGCAGAAAGGGGGGGGGGGGTATAACTCTAGTCCGAAAACATCACGTTCAGAAGCATGGGTGGCGACATAGTACGCCCACAATGTAAACAAACTAAATGAATAAACGTTATATCACAAAACACATGGTTTTGTAGAAAGACACTCATACTAATATCGATATTCTATTTGGTAGATAAATAGAATAAAAATTCATAGTCAACTACTATATTGTTATCATACATAGAATAAATACTGATATTAATATAAGATACCATATCTGTACTTATACAAAATCTTGTAGATAGATAGAATAAACATATAGATATTAAAATAAGATAATCTACCTTATATATAAATAGAACAACATTAATATTAAAATATTAAATTGATATCCTACCTTGTAGATAAATAGGATAAACAGTACCACAGTGATTTATACCAGGTGGTGAATTAGGAATTTTAAAATTACGTTGTCCGTACCATCCTTCTGTGATAAATCTGTCAGATAGTGGTGTGGTTGTAAGGTTTCTTACATTCGTGGATGATCTTTGCGTGAGATTGGTAAACGCCCTAGGGCTGGTACATGGATCTATTTTCATTATAAGCAAATAAATCATTACAAGACAATACAGTCTATGTCTATTCTGTGTTAATGTCATAGTTTATGAACAATATGAAGATTTCGGGGCCCGGTTCCTAGAAAATTCTTAAAGTAAGCACAAGTCATGCTTCGCTTTTGCTTACTTAAGAAACTTTATAAAATATAAAGCACGAGTCTAAGCATATTGTGACTAGTAAACTGAGATGCTCTCTAACGTCATAAAAACAATTTTGGTGTGCGAATTACGTCATAAATTGGTCGGCTGCAAAGCCCTGTATAGGGCGTACTCCTCGCAATGTTTCGTTTGATTAGAGCTAATCCCACTACTCACTGTTGTAAAGAAGGAAAATTCTTGATCTAAATTATGACTGGTCAATAGTCCAATTAACAACCAATAGCTAACTGCGTAACAATACTAAACAGAGCCCCAAATTGGACCGAATATATTATGTCCAATTAACCAGTGCATAACAGAATATTGCAGAAAAACTAATGGTGTGACAAACGAGGCAATCAGCATGGATACGATGTATACAATACTGTTTTGAGTCGAACAACGCTTTCACCGTTTTTAATACCTTAAATCACTCTCCAAAGTTTTAGGGAAGGCCCCTGATTAAAAGAAGGGCTGTCATGTTGCTGTGCTTGGGATAGATTTGATTGAACGGGAAGAATAGACACATTCCCTCAAAAGCGCAAGTATCAGAAGCTAATTCAGCAATGGCCAGTGAGGGATTTCTCGGACCATTGCTTCAGGAATATATGTATAGGGAAAGTTACGACAGCTCATTCACAGGCGCCATTTTCGGTCCCAACTATGACGCCATAAAAACTATGACGTCATGGCGTCATATAGCTTTACTTAACAAAGCTATACTTTACTTATAACGTTTTCCGGGTCCCAAACAAATTGCAAAAGAAACCAATGCAGTTTGGTTCATGGATAGATATGTCAGACAAAATTATACTCAAAATCGGCCAAGGCAAAATGACATGATTAACAGAATTTAATTTGGCGTGCTTCAAGAATTATCGGAGAGCTATATCTCGTACTAAGTGTCTTTCAATGGTGGGAGGATAAATATTTTCTTTTTAAATTCCTCAAACACAGAGTGATTATCCCAGCGAAATGTGTCGAAAAATCGAATTTGACAAACATCAATTTAAAAAAATGTATTTTGCATGTGGTGGCGGGCATTTCTTTCAAAATGACTTCAAATTTGGTAATATAATACCATTAAGAAAATAAATAAAATGAAAAAGAAAATAACATTAATTTGGTAATAAAAGAGCAGCGATAATCTCAAAAATTTAATTTCGAGAATTCTTGATGGTAGAAATTCAAAATGGCCGGCAAAATGAAATCGAAAATGGTGGAATTTTAATTAATCGTCATTTCTTTCCGTTGGGTATGACTTGTAATATGTGGTATCTTAATCCCGAACGCGCTTCAAACATCTAGATGCAATAGACTTGGTGTAGAAACTTCTAGGTAAATAGAAATGTTGGCAATGAAGATTCAATCATAGTTTTTAGTTACACACTGTTAACCACCCATGTTAACGACCCATAAATATTTTAATATACTTTATTCAGCTCGACGCAAGACTTAAAATGAATAGATGCAGTTCGTTTAACTTGAATGTAGATCCATGTTGCATACATAGGATCTTTCGGTTGAGTCATATCATAAAAGTATCTTATCTCATAGTTTTACGTATTTGTCAACATTAAGGTGTACTTGTTCTATCATTGCATTTAGTCTATGAATTTTCTTGTTTCACTTGACTAAACAAAACATTTTGTAGGAATGTAGGCTTTTATAAATTGAACAAAAAGCTGAGAAATGTTGAGATGTGTGGTACATGCTCGAGGTAATTTGTAACAAATCTCTGACACGATATACACTGTATGTTTGATACTAGTTGAACATGATTATTTCATTGGAAATCCTAAACCAACTGCGCCTGCTTCACTGGGCACCTTCAATGTCTGTCTACCCGTGGAATAACATGTACATTATATGTTAAATATGTGCGGTTTATATACTCTTCAAAAGAAACAATATTAAAAATGCGGAAATGCACTGTTGTTTGTATTAGAGTTAACCAGTGTATGTTAATAACCCAATTGCCTACACATGAACATAAACAGTTAAATATGGGCGGCTTTTCTGACGGCACAACTTCACTCGCAAATAGATACACTGTCAAAAGTGAAAATGGACGTTTTTGAATTTTGTCTTAATAATGAGTAATTGTTCCACCAATTCTCGGACATTCAGCAACTCATCCTGACATGCTCCTAATCAACCGCCCAATCACGATATGGGGCAGTCTGACCCACTCCTCTTGCAGTGCCAATGCCAATTCTTGCAGTGTTGTCGATTTAAGTTGACCTCGATGAACACGTCTCCCGATCAAATAAAACGTAACACACTAAAGCAAAGATACGCTAAACTGTACAGCTTCTGCAAGACTGACAGATAAGCAATCTTGGATTGGATAAACCAGCAAGCGTCAGTTTTCATCAACCCTTCCTCGAGGTGTCAAATTTGACAATGAACCCCTCCCACGTGTATGGCACTATTGCGTGTCGATAAGTTGGGTCGATAAGTTCTTCATCTGTGAACATACTCTCAAAGCATAAGTGTCCATGACTATTTATCATATCACAACCCTACTATTTGAAGAGTATATATTAGATTGATATCATTATTTACACATGGGCGGGGAGTGATAACGTCTCACCCCAAATAAATTGAAAAAGAAACAAGGAAGTTTTGGAGAGCTATATCTCGTATCACATGTCACTGATGAAACATATGCCCGAAACACATGTCACGCAAGACACTTTTTATTTAAATTACACTGATTTTACACTGATTTTAAATGTTTTATCCATTAGTCAATTTAAAGAAATTTCTATTTGCGAAAAATTGATGATACAATTAATGATCGATGACCGAAAACTGACACACAATCCGGAATGGCTCCAGACCAAAATTGCATTGAATTTAAGAGCTTTATTTTGCCGGCTAGAAGGCAAAATAATTTTATCCCCCAAATTACTATTTAAATTTTCATTTTTCACTTTACCCGCCTTCACAAAAAATCTGATTTTTAAAAGCGTATGCAAGTTAAATATATTTCATAGCGCTTTTATCTGGTGTATCTTTTATTTCATTTTCTTAGGAATTAGACTTTATTATTATAACAATCATGTGCGCTTTTTGTTGAATAATAATAATAGTTTGTTCAGCTATACTTTTCGTTTAAAAAATATATGTTTTATCTCTTTTTGCGGAATACTATGACATATCTATCTACATCGCTGTGGGGGGCAGCTAAATTCGACACGACAGTATGATAGGACATGAATAGATAGTGAGTAGGTACAAAAACTTGGGACACAAGATGGCGTCTTTGTACGCTTGACGTCATATTTTCACGACGTCATATGAAATTTCTGGCTTCACATTAAATGTCACAACTTTCTCTATATACGGGTTATAGAGTTATAAATAGATCAAAGACATTAACTTCCCGGCAAATAGTCGATTTAGATGCATTTGACATGTCACCCATACACATATAACCAGCGGCTGCCAGTCAGGATACGCCCACATTTTCGAGAGATGGATAGAGAACAAGCTAACAAGAAAGTGATTTTTCCTACTATCAAGGGCCATAATTCAGGAAACTACAATTCAATATGCGCGAATATCGACAGGACTGAGATCTTTGGGTTATAAACTTACATTTCAAGTTTCAACAAAATCGGATAAAAATTGTGACCAATAGAGTGTCCACAACCTTGATATACCATATTTTTACGCTATTTGAGAACGAAGGGCGGCCATTTTGTCTGTCAGTATTGGGCCGATTTTCACAAAATTCGAACTCAGCCATCCTTAGGGTGTAACGGTGATACAATAATACGATTTTTTTTAAATCGGATAAAAATTATGACCTCTATAGGGTTCACAAGCTAAAGACGCGATTTTTCGTACAAACAGGGGTCATAATTCAGGAAGTTACGGTCCGATATGCGCGAATATCGAAAGAAACCGGAATCTTTGGGTTATAAACTTACATTTCAAGTTTCAACAAAATCAGATAAAAATTGTGACCTCTATAGGGTCCACAAGCTAAAAACGTGATTTTTCGTACAAACAGGGGCCATAATCCATGAAGTTTCGATCCGATACATGCCAATATCGATAGCAGCCGAGATCTTTGCGAGATAAACCTATATTTGAAGTTTCGTCAAAATCGGTTAAGACTTGTGACCTGTAGAGTGTCCACAAACGAATTGTGGACGGACGGCCTCCGGGCGTCCGGTCGGACAGGGACGACGGCATAATAGGTCCACATGAAAATGTGGACGTATAAAAACGCAAGCACATGCAAACAGACGGAATAATTGTGAAATAAAATGGTTTCAGGGTAGAAGCCCAATTTTCTATAGCACTCTTCTCGAGAATATTTTTCTAAAGGATTTTCCGTCTTTCAATTGTCTCTTTGGTATCAAAAGATGTAGGAAATGCCCTCGAGAATAACTCTACGGTCAGCCATCTTGTTTGTAGCTGAAACAGGCTTGAGGTTGGTAAGCAAGGCCTATACCTTTCATGTGCTTAGATTGACAATGTTTAAGAACGAAGCTGTCCTTAAGTTTTTTCTTGGAACACATAATAACGTGATTGTGCTTACACTGAATCTGCTTAAAATCTAAGCACAAGAACGTCCTTAAGAATTTTCTGGGAACAGAAAATAAAGTAAGTTTACAGAAAATGTAACATCTACTTAAAATCTACGCAAAAGAACGTGCTTAAGAATTTCTAAGAATCGGGCCCTGGCATATTGTAATGAATCGTAGGGTAATCGTAGGGTTTGCTGTTTGCGTCGTCTTCGAGTTCGGACCAACAATTAAAATTCCGGTCAATAAGAACACTAGTTTACATTTTTAAGAAATGAAATGAAATGGGG